GATCTGACGTCAGTCCTAGAGAGAATTAGGGGAAGAATGGTAATGAGATTCAATTAATAAAGAATGAAAGGATGGGAATATAATTAATACTAGCCAAGAAGACTAGGGAAAATAGGTCTTGTCAAATGCTTTTTTTTTTTTTCTGCACTTCGGTAGAAGCAGGTATCTGGGTAAAAGTGGCAAGTAGGTAAGGGTTTTGACCTAGAACAACATGACCCTCAAGAAGTAATGCTTTATAATAGTGATAAATGGATTAAGAACTGGCTTCACATCTCAAAAAGCAGTTGTTGAAGACGAGAGAACTGTTTTGAGAGCCTGGTGGTATTCAACATTTTCATTGGATTTGGGGCAAACTTGAATTTAATTCTTACCAGATTTGGAGGTGATATGCACGTTGGCAGGATAGTAAATAGTACTGAGGATGGGAGAGTTGTACGGAGCGGTCTGGACTGTTTGCTAAGCTGTCTCCCTTGAAACAAAATATTTTCTTACCCTTTAATCTAAAATTCTGCGAAGCCATACCAGCAGAATAGACAGGGACTGAACAGTGACACTGTGCCAAGAACAGCTCACTGTGGTCTTGGGAGGTGCAAGCAGAGGCAGTGAAGATGAGAGTACCAGATGGATTTTACCTCTGTACTTGTTTTTGTACTAAAACGCTCTCCGATTCTGGCGTGCATGTTTTCAAAAGGGTGCTTAAAACTTGGGGAGGTCATTAAAATGATTCAAGGGCAGGCGAAAAAAAATGCCTGAGAAACACAAACAGCTTAGTCTGTTTAACTTGTCAAGAAAGAAGATTGAAAGATGACTTGATTACACTGCAGAAGAGCCTTCGTAGCGAGAACACAAAGCAGCGTGCACTGTGGAGAAGAACATTTAAAAAAAAACCTGGTGGCTGAAAGCTGAAGCCAGACAAACTTAAGTTACATCTTCAAATGTCAGGGAGTGAAGAAACTGCACAGGCAAATGGCAGATTCTTCATCTCTCAATGCCTTCAAATCCAGACTGGATGCCTTTTTAAAAGGTATTCTTTAGCTAAACATAAATTGTTTTGCTGAACAGAGCACGAATTAGCAAAATCTCACGGCTTGTCAATGTGGAAAACTTGGCAAAGTGTCTCCTGGTCCCGTCTGGTTCTTGGAGTCTGATCATCAAGGAGACTGTGCTTGGGCAAAAAATTTCTTCTTCCCAGGGTCGTTCTCAACCAGAACCTGCTCTTTAGTTGCATGTTGCACTGCAGACTTGACTGGCTGCTTAATTGGAAAAGGTGCAGGGAATAAATCTGGTGACACTGCAGAAAATGTCAATACTACTTTTACTTGTTCCAGATACCACTAACAAATTAAGACAAATAGGTTTTGCAGGCAACACCCTCATAGAGGCATACACTTTACCTCCTTGATTTACAGAGGAGTCGAAGCACAAGACTCTTCCATATTGGCTGGAGAAGGCTGCGAATAGGTGACTGTTGCTTGTGAAATGTTTTCCGTCCGCAGAGAAGCAATGCCGCTTTGTATGCATTTATTTCCTTTCTGCATCCTGTCCTTTTCCAGGTGTGCTGTTTCTATGGTCCTGCGCTTCTCTTCCAGCTGAGGGAGTTAAAACACTCTATTTTTGTTATGTGCTGACCATGGGTAATGTTTGACTGAAGGGTTTAAGTGGGTTAGGAGCCTACATCCCATTTCCCACAGTGTCGCTGGTGCTTACGCCGGTCTCTCATCCTGTTTCGGTCTTAACTTGCACGCTGCCTTGAGCTGGGAGCCTGCCTTTCTGGCGAAATGGGTTCATCGCCTTTTGTTCAAGGGAAACTTACAACAAAAAGAGAACGGAGAGGAAAAAGGCCAGAGACGTTTTTCTCAAGTGACTGTGGAGGTGCTTCGTTCGGTTTGTTAGATGCAGCAGTTGCTACGTGTTCCTGGCAGGGAGGAACGAAGGATTCCCATCACTGCTGTCGCAGCTCATCCCGGGCAGCTGACCTGCCCTCGTCTGTCACCTCCTTTCTTGTTTTCCGGAGCGTCTCCGTTATCATCACTTTTTTTTTTCTTTTATATGAGAATATCCATGCCTCATAGCTGTGAAAGCAATTAGGAATACTGGAAAACGACTCACTTGCAGAAAGCTTGGAAGAAGAACTGAGAGAAGTTTGGACTTGTCCATTTACCTCAGAAAAGAGGTAGTTCAGCTGTCGTATGGGGTTGTCGACTGTTAACAAGGCCGTTCCTTATTCAGGAATGGAGAACACGTCATTGAGTTGCGGGCTTATAGCAACTGGTGTCTCTTTCTGGTACTGCAGATACCTGGAAAATGCCAACACTCATTTCCCCCTCTGCACCCTAAGCCAAGAAAGTGCCAAGGGCAATGGGTAAGAACGGGGCTGCAACCTAGTCACAGTTTGAATGTGTGTCTGGTCACCTGTCACCAGCACCCTTGTTTGACTTGAATGGGCTGAGAGGTGTGAGGATGTCATGAAATACTCTGCAAACTGTGTGTTTTCCTCTCCATGATTTCCCTTTGCGTGTGGAGCAGGATAGTCAAAGGCATCTGGCAGTCCTCTTGGTCTGCTGTTGATGTGCTGCAGTGCCAGCACTGCAAAGATGACGTGTGGTGCTGCAGCTGCACTTGCCCCAGGCCAGCCAAATCGTTTCTGGTACAGTACTCTCATGTTGCCCATCTTCCACAGTGCTGTCTTTCCTGGTGTTTGGGCCCTTCTGCTGTATGACGTTAGCTGTGAACCAGAAGATGGATGATAAAAAGCAACAAGCACCTTGGGTTGCTCTAACGCCTCACTCTGCCTCAAGCCTCTTATTTTGTTGCCAGATGGAGATGCATAGTTTTCTAAGTATGAATTTCTCCTGGCATCCCTAATTAGAACAAGAGACTTAAGGCAGATGTTGCTTAGTTGGACAATTGAGCGTTTTCTTTTTTTTTTTTTTTAAACATATATGTCGATTTGTTACTTTGACTCTAGTTGTATACTAAGGCTCTCATAACAACTAACCTAAAAGATGCAGAAGGATGAGTATTCTGAGAGCATACACATTGAGGAGGGATGGGAATTGATGGATGTAGCTGAGTAAAAGATTGTATGTAGAGGTCAACGAGACAGAGAAATTAAATGGACCATCAAGTCAGTCTACAGGGTGTGGGATGCTCTCTGACAGGAACCCATCAGAGGATCCGGAGCGAGCTGTACAAGGCTTGTAGAAGGTGCATCAATGGGAACTTCTCTGCAGTGGCTGGGGAAATGGGGCCGTTTCATGAGGCTTTGCTTTTACTGATGCCTATGTTAATATTCTTGCCTCAAGGTTTGGGTTCAGGAAGCACTTTAAAAATATCTGTTTTATGTTAGTGTAACTTCCTAATTTATACTGTGTGCTTCATATGTTGCTCTAGGCACATAAACAGTACAATTTGTAGTTAATGGTAACCCGGAACATGCGTATTCTATTCTGTTAGCCCATAGGGACATACATACACACACTGCACCGTATGTGGGGACAGCAGCTGGTACAGAGCCCTGGGGCCAACGTGTTTACCCAGTTGGAAACATCATGGTCCTAGAGAAAAAGGGAACTTAGTGGCTGAGTTCGTATAAGAGTTCCTGCCCTTGCAGAACATTTTAGGTGTTATTTGAGAAGTAGGAAAGGAAGCATTTCTCATATCCTAGTGATTTTTTTTATTTTTATTCTTTCACACCAAGAACCGAAGAAAAGTAGTTTCAGGTCAAGCAGCTTTCTCCACAAGTAACAATGTTCTGCATGTTTTGAACAGGTTCCTACAGATATCCCCTTCTTTCTAAAGCAGCTGGGAGAGACTTAAGCTCTTTGGTATTTGGGGGTCCTGAGTACTGGAGACTTGCATAGCTTCCCTAGACTTCCCTAGGGGTACTCTTCAAAAAGCTGGTGGGTTTCCAAGAGCGCTCTTACTTAGCAGTGTGGCATTCTCTATCTGTGCTGCTGTCTGCCACAGTAATAACAAAAAGTAAAATAATCAGTAGAAATATAGGAAGTTTGGATCGAAGATCTGTTGCTTGAGACCTGATGAACGGCATCATCCTTTTCAGGTTTCTGGGTAGGCACCTTTGAAGGGATTTAGATATTCTGGCTTGTGCAGAAGACGACTTGTAGCTGATGTATTTCCAGATGCGTGCTGTATGTAGGATGAAATTTGGAGCTTCCTGACACCAGTAAAGGCAATCAATGGTAATGGTATACATTACATATTCATTATATAAAATGGTTGTTCTAAGAAACACAGACTGCTAGAAAAGAAGGATTAAAATAGCAGCTGCTAATCTCAGAGCCTTTGAAGACTGAACCCAGGAGGAGAGAGAACCCACTTAATTCCCTTTTAGGCACTGGCTGAGGGTGTGCGTGAAAGGACTAGTCCTTTCTTGGGGGTTTTCCAGTACTGATGCTCTTCCAGGGTGGCCTGCATCGGGGAATATTTTGGCTGTGCCTCAGTATTCCCCTATTGCCTGTTGGGGAGGTTTCCTCTATCTATGCTGCTTCTAATGCCATCTGGCCTTTTCCTTCCCTTCTGATCCTCTGAAGCTGACCAGGAGCTATGGTTTATTGCTGTTCCTCCTGATCTGAGACACAGTGCAGAATTTAGGAAACGTTAGAGGCGCAGTTGACTCTTACAGCTCCACTCTGCCCATAGTTGCTGCTGCTGCGTTCGCGAGTTGGGTAGCTCCGCACATGGGGGCAGCTTGTGTATCTGTATGCACCTGTGCTCAATGCATAATTAATTGATACAAATGCTTAAAGTAACTAGGGTAGTAAGTATATTTTGAGTGTCTGCTGGGCCTGGCTTGCTGGAATACCAGGTTTGTTCCAAAGATGATGGAGCTGTTGTGTTTCATTACTCAGCCCTGCTTCAGCAACGTGACTGCCAGGTTGCCAGGCTGATCTTCTGAAAGGCCTTCCTTGCTTCTCCTTGACTCTGTTATTCCAGAAGAGAATGATGGCTGACTGCCTTTTCTCCACTTTTGTTTGTAGATGGGGATGGTCGGAGACTCAAAGGAGCCATCCAAAGGAGCACAGAAACTGGACTAGCTGTTGAAATGCCTAGCCGGACCGTCCGTCAAGCCAGCCATGAATCCATTGAGGACAGTATGAACAGCTATGGATCAGAGGGAAAGTAAGTCATTGAAAGTGAGCTGGATAATCACTTGTGGGATGCTTTGTTCTTGTTATACCTATTAATTTTCCTCCAGCAAGACAGATGATGTGGTTTTTTTGACTTGTCTATGCTGCAGGTGTACTGCCCATTCAATTAGAGCAGAGTAGATCTCTCTCCCTGCGTAGCTGGCACATACTTTAGCTGTTTATGTACTTTTTTTTCTAGTGTCCTCATTATTCTGAGCTGAAGCAGGTACCCGTTACTTTTAACAGCTTTGCCTTTAGAAGAATAGTTCAGGATGAACAGCTGAGGATCATTACTGGCAATAAATGATAAGCCAGGAGCTTTTAGCATGTTGTAAAATAGTTGCCTGTCTCCTGTCTTCCAGAATAACCTTTTGGGCAAAAGGTTGTGCCAAGGAGTGCTGAGATGATGAAAAGGATATAAGTAGCAAAATGATCATATTGATATCAAAATACATATTTAGAAACCTCTGTATATTTTGGTAACAATTTCTTTTTCCGTTTCGTCTGAGTTAGTGTTCTAAACGAATATATTTTAGAAATGTTTTTTGACCTTAAGAACAGTTATATCACACTTTGTTGCATGTAGGTTTTACACGGAATCTTAGTCCAGAATTTCAGGATCTGGCTTGGCTCAAATTCTGTTTTTTGTATTCCCATTATTTGAAGTAGTATATGGAGATTATCACCCGTTTATTAAGATGACCATTTGTGGGAATCTCTTGAGGGGGGAAAAAACATATTTAAAAGGGGGAGGGAGAGGAATATATATCAGCAGATTCCATCCTTCTAGGTGTGAGGCCAAAATATTTGTATGCTTAAGTCATGTACTGCTTAAGTCAAGTACCATACTTGGCTTCTCTCTGTACATCTCTCCAGTCCTTTGCGGTATTCCACGTGTGGTGTGCCATTACAATGCTAGAATAGTGTAAAGGCTCTCTCAAATAATTAATGCCGCTCTGGTGCTAAATAAGTAACAGGCTGTAAATTAAAAGGGCTTCCTTTAGCTTTAGAAGTAGGCTAGCCCTAGAAAAGCATCATAGATCTGCGCTGAAGGTTGGGAATAGTAATGAGGAGCAGTTTGCGATAGAAATCTTGTCACTCCAGAGCTGGGATGTATCTTCTCTTTCTTGTGAGCTGTTATCTCTGGAGAAATGCTCCTACTATACCACCACAATCCTGTGGCTTGGAGCGCTGCCTCCACTACAAGAATCAGAGGATTAGTGATTAAGTTCAGTCCCTTGGCAGTGCAGGGCAAGAATCTGCTTTCCATGCAGAGGAGAATGCTTTCCTTTTTATATTTATATAGCTTACCCTCCTGGGAAGGAGGTGTAATTCTCCCAAAGGCCTGTGGCCTATCATTACATATACTGGGTGCTTTGATTGGATCTTTCAACAAAATATTACACCCATGCAAGTGCTATTTTACCCTTGAGGCAAGGAGCGTGTAGCTATCAGCTCAGCAAAGAAAAATCCTGTCTTGCAATCTAAATATATTTGTTAGAACAAGTCTAAAGGGATATTGGAATCTAAAACAGTGCCAAAACATCCTCATCAGCCCCTCTGCAAGGGATGGGACAGTTTCTCCTCTTACTTCTCTGGAAATTGTGGTAAATAGCTCTTGAATGATTTGTTCCTAGGCAGGATAATTGATCTCCTCTGGAAAGCCCTTGGGAATTGCAGTTATCTGTCAGAACCACAAGCGATAAGCAAACAGGGTTGAGAGTACAAAGAGGTAAGAGGGCTCTATTCTCCAGGAACATGATGGGAGGGGAGTTTCTCCTTTCTTCCTCCAAAGCAAAGCAAAACAGTGTTTGGGGAATAGCTTTGAGGGGCAGAAATTTATTCTGCTAGATCAGGTTTCTGTCAGCCTCTCTCACGTGCTGTGGCTGAATGTTCTCAGGGAAGCAAAGTGAAGATTGATATGACTGTGCTGGCTGTGGCAAGTTTGTTTTCTTTCTCGTGCTGAGTTTCTTACTGATGCAGATGCTCTTAGGTCTGAGACAGTTCTTACCAGTGACTATCAAAACCCAGTTTTCAGAAAGATGAGGTTGCCCCAGTTTTTCCAGCCCATGCATCTCTTTGGTAAGTTCACGCAGGGAAAACAGTGGAGTCAAACTTCATCTTCCAGAGTTCACCGTGTTTTCTTAATGCTTTGCAAGATAAGGACTAAGAGGACACCTTCCATAGGTGACACACTGAAGCGATCAAGGATTGCAGTTGAACTTTGCTGCAGAAGGCCTTAAATACCTCTTCTCAGCCATAGACAAGCATGCTTTTAAAAACCGATGCTGTTTGACTCACTTTGTATCTATTGCAACTAGCTGGCTACAATTAGCTGAAAGTGCTCAGCTTCAAGTGCAAAGAGTCACAACAGAAGAATTTTCTAGGCTGTATGATTTTGAGCAGTATTGTTTATAATGCGAATACCAGAGTGCATAAAACACAGATGATTTTATGGAGAGGCTTGCATTATATAGGAATACACTTCTCTTCAAATATGCTAGGCCCTCCTTCAAGAAGACACTCTGGGGTTTTACCTGATAACTGAAATATACTGAAGATTAACTGGTCTAAAGGATGTATCTCCTGGAATTTAAGATCATACAGAACGCCAGCAAAGGGCATGGCAGCATCAACACACTGCGCCATGGCTTTAATTTCTGTTATACAAAAAGTCCCCCAGCCATTACTGGCTTTTATACTGCACAGTCGTTGTGCACTAGTGTAAGAAATCAATATAATAAAACTCAATGTGAGACATTACAGAAGGGAAACGTTATATTTATTTTAAGCAAAACTGTTTTCAGTCATTCACACTCACGCGCGTTCCCACCCCCACATGCAAGTGCCAAGGTACGAGTATCCAGGTGGTCTGGCCAGGCTTTCTTGTGTGCTACAGAGAGGACAAGGGACGCCATCTGCCAAGTCCTCTCTGTCTTCTGATTTCTTCTTGAAAAAACTGACGCTTAGACCGGTCTTTTATACCTTCTAGGACTTACCCATTATTATGGGGTGATCTTTCACCTCAGAGCCTTGGTTACTTCAGCCTCCATAGATCTTAAGTAATGCTGGTACCTCTTTGTTTTCATGTTTTGAGGATCTTTATGGCTATAGTCTGTCTTCCTATGGTGTGCTCTCTGACCTTGTTGTCTTCCTCCTGTCATCAGAGCACAGGTTTTCTGCTGCCAAGTTGTTTCTGCTTTCAGGCACACAGAAGTTTCCATTCATAATTCATCCATCAATCGTAATATTGGTTACAAATCTCTACAGTAGTGTTTTCTTCTAGGTGCGTACTGAAAAATCTGCGTGACAGGACAGTAACCCACTGTAGCAAATGCCTACCAGGCTGTGTCGGGACAACACCAAGATTATTGCAAGGATAAAATTCGGCAGATAGGAGTAACTTCCAGAGAAGCCGTGAGGATTCAAGGGGGAGCTCCAGCTCCAATATGGCTCTTGGACAGCTGACATTTTGTTTTAGCTGGGTTTTGCCGCAGCTGCACAGGACCATGTTGCAACATTCAGAAAGCAACAGATTCTGGACTGGTGTGTAACTTATTCCTGCCAGCCACTTTCTTTTTGAAAATGAAGCAGAAAGACAAAAATGGACCTGGAACAAAAGACTGCTAGCTGCTGTAGTCCCTACTACATAGTACTCGTAGGCTTTTTTGTTCTTATGGACTACTGCTGAGATGATTAACTTACAGAGAGCTAAGGCAATTTTTCTCACCTTAAAAAAGCACAGCAGGTGATGACTAGCAAAGACTTAGAGGATCAGTCTTGTAATAGCTGAGGAGATTAGCCTTCCTTGTCCAGCAAGGAAGCATCTTGTCTATCATATCTCTCTTTTTCCCATCGTGAGGGCAGTATCCGCCCGGGCCCTGCTCGAAGCTGCCGTCACGATGGGAGCTGGGCTTGTTCCTGCCGAGCCCCAGCCTCCACGCTGAGTGTGACGGCCCCGCTGGGCATGGGCATCTCGTGGCTGTGGGATTTGTTCTGTCCCTTACTGTTCCTGCAAATTACAGCTTGTACCAGTTCTCCCATCTGTGCATGCAAGGAAGGAGCCACAATAAATACTAACTACTGAGCAGTGCTCATAAGGCTAATTTGAACCAACGTCAGGACTTAAGACTGGGATAAGTACCTGCCTTTGCCTGCTTCCCTGGGAAACAGTAAGTAAAAGGAAGCTGCAGAAAGTACTGGTCTGGCTTGTGACAATATGGCCATGTTAAAATTCACCCTTCTTCACCAGAAGGGCCACAATGCCCATCTTCATTCAAGAGTTGCCGGAAGACTGCATCCTAGAAAGCACTGGTGAACAAATCTTCACCATCCAGAAGATTTATATCATAGCTATCCAGTGCCTTTTATTCTTTTTCCCCCCCCTCCAGTATCCAAAGTCAGGAGACTTCTAGACTCTTTTATAGCAAGTTATCTTCAGGGCTCTCCTGTTATGCAGGTCTTTTAAAAATAATGAAATGCAGTGTTAATACAGTTCAGCCTGTAAGAAATCAAGGGCTAGAGGTCTCAAGAAAAGGTAACCAGGGGAGGCAAGGAGGATTATTTCTGTAATATGCCAAGAAAACAGCCTGTTCAGCAACAACAGATCTTTCCATGTTGCTAGGCTTGACCAGCATGGCTCAGAGAGGATGCAGCCTTGCGAATGCTGTAGTTATAGCACCACATGCAGCAAGTTTGCACAGAGAAACCTCTTGGGAAGGGGCAGAATTACTCGGAAGGCAGGTAGCCACCTTACTTGTACCCAGTATGTCTGAGACAACTTGTGATCGCTGAAAATGGAGCTTGCCTGACAAGGTGGGGAAGGGAATGGGGGAGGTCTTTGTACGTAACTTACTGCACAGTTTTTATAGCTCAGTTTAGGTGGCAGAATTCATACAGCAGAAGGAACCTGAGGTACAAATGGAGTACAGTGTGTTACAGCACATAAGACAGTATGTCACAGTGCTAAAAATGTTGTAGAAAGTGGAGTGG